GTCCCTTTGAAATACCTAGTCGTATGTAAAACTTCATGATTCTGGATCACTGCAGGTGTTTGATACAGAAATGCAAGCATCTCTAATAGGATTCAGGGTTTTTTAACCTAATAAAGGCTATTGATACCAACCTAATCTGAATTGTAGTTCTGAAAAGTGAAACAAGAAGCACAGCAGTAGGATCACATCATTTTATAGTGGTGGTTGCCCCAGAATTTCTGCAGATGAGAGCAGACATTTCAGGATCTGAAGGACTTCCTCTGCCTTCGGCCATCAGAGCATGGAGAAGAGGCCGGCGTCAGGCAGAATTGGCTATTGCTGCAGTTTGGAGCTGGCTGACCAGTTCTACTGCAGGTGGCTTGTCAACGCAGGCTGAGATAGTGAAGCTTTGTAAGTCATGACGAGAGGCTTCTGTCAACAGATTGTGGATGAATGTAGGCCATCACTTGCCCTTGTGCTGTTTGATAAGTTTAGTCTGGAAAGTCAGATATGATTTCAGGAACATCCAGCAATGTGTTCTCCTAAAACAGCCAGCAAACCTGTTAACCCAAAGGACAGTGCCAGGGTGCTGGCAGGGGACTCACAATTAGCAAGGACAGAGATTAGCTAAACAACAGAAATAATTTGATAGTAATTCAGGTACAGAAGTGATCCGACCAGGAACAAAAAACACAAGAAGAGCATGTCACAAAAAACAAAACCACAAACAAATTAACAGTGAAAGCACCAAACTTCAAATAAGCCAGAAATAAACAACAAAAACCCCAATACAATACAAAAGGGGCAGTCCATAAGCAAGTGATATGTAAACTGCAATTTTAAAGAGAAACATCTTTAGGGAGTTTACACGTGCAAGAAAATTAGCACTAGGGACTACAGTGCCTTAAGTGCCACAAAATCAACCAAACAACAATTTGAAATGCAGCTTTCAGAAAGGTAGTTGTTCATGCTGAGAGTGCTGCAGGACAGGGGTTTCGGGTGCGGTTAAAAGCCACAGGTAACATCAGTGATTGGCCTTTTCCAAAACCTCTGCTGGTTTTACTCTTCATTTGTGTGGTCTGCAACAGGAGACGAGTGGGAAGGGAATGATTCCTTCCATCCATCTGCCCTCCCCTGACAAATCTCCGCAGGACAGTTCAATGCTCCAGGCGAGGGATTCTGGCAGAGTGAGGACTGTCAGGCATCAGTCTACTAGAGACAAGGAGTGAAGAGTATGTCCAAAAAGGCCTACTTCTGCTGAGAGACGAGAATCAGGTTGTCCATGGCTTCTAACAGTTCCCAGCAGCTGGAGAGAAATTTCTCATCAGGACAGTGACAGTGTGGGGGAAGATAATTTAAGTCTTGGAGAGTCTCTATGCAAGCCCCATGATTCCCATCTCTTTAAGGTGGAGGAGGGATGTGGCATGTCGGGCCCTGGTGGGGTGGGCTGTGTGCTCCAACAGTGAGAAGCCTGGTGACTGCACAGCACACGTGTGACCTGAGGATCTGGTGGGTTGTCCTGGTGATCCCATACAGTTTGTCCTGCTATAAACTGACTTACTAGGTTGAGTTTGTGCTGCATTAGAGTTTTGGCCCTCAGGAGCACAACACAGGCACTGATAATTTTGTTTAATCGGTAAACACCTTCTAATCATCTTCACTTGTCCCATCATCCCCAGTGCAAAGCTGCTGCAGTAAAAGTTCTGGTGCAAAACTCGCATGGACTTTGCTGAGGCAGGGGAAACCCGAGCCATTGCCCTGTAATGATGGCCCTGAACTGTGCTCGGTAAGGGACCTCCTGGCAGAAGTCCCTAACTCCCTCCCTGTAGGAAGCTTTGCATTAACTAAGTGCTACTTACTTACAGTCCAGATGCTTTTTGCCTTGAAGTAGCAAAGCCATGGCATGAAACTGGTCTAATGGCAGGGTGTAGCAAGGGCTGCATAGCACAAGGCCATTGCTGAGAATGCAGGCTTAGGTATGGGGTTTGGACCCTGTGCATTTGTACAACCATTTAATGTATTTTAGCTTTAAAGCTTGATCTCCTTAATCCACAGTCCTGCTAAACTCTGCAAAATTGCCACATGTAGATGCATATTCCACATGATTCACCGTGAAGTCACATGCAGCAGTGCTTCTTGGGCTATCCGTCCTCTTATGTTTGCTGCTGAGGATTGTAAGAGCCAGCACTGACTTGATTGAGATCTGAAGATGACAACGGGCTAAACAGTGAACACGGGTTATGTATCTCAGCGTTGATCCTGTGCAGTAGAAAGGAGGGCACTGTAAATGATCTGGAGGATCGGTTACAGGTCCGTTGCAGGCAGTGTTGCTGTGAGTGTGCCCATCTTGACAAGAACACAGAAGGGAGAATAAAAGTCAGGGGTGGCTGTCACAAATTCACAAATCTTTGTTTGAGACTGGCCCTTTAGCCTAGGGTAGCAGGTTGGAGTATGAGGGTGATTTGATATAAGATGTTCTTGAAATATTAAAGCGTAGCTTCATACAAAATCAGGGATGTTGGAATAAAGATGCTTGTTATTTGTAGAATTTTTTGTTTAACAAAGCAATCGCTAGCAAAGACTTGCTAAGAGAAAAGAGAAACGTGTTATACCTTGGCTGAACACTTGTTTCTTGATAAATAACAGTAGCTCATCTGTAGACCAGGCTCAGGATGGCTGTTGGAGGGTGATTGCGTTCAGCCCTTTGGAGGGCAAGTGCTGTATGACCCACAAAGCAGGTTTCTCCCTGCACTTTCTCATCAGAAAGTAGCTCTGGTTTGATGCACTGGCTCTGAGCACATCATTGTGTGGGAAGCTGGTGGGTCATATGCTGACCTGAATGTCTTCTGATTCATCATACCCACCGTTTCTGCTTTTCCCATGAGGGTTGCCCACTGTGAGACTTTCGCTGGCTGTGAACGGGAAGAAACTCTGTGGCGAGTTTTTGGGCGTTAGAAGAACAGGCTGGCATTTCTTGGGTTCTTTTATTTTTCCATTTTTCTCCTGTCTGCATCCTAGAGTTGTGAAATAAATGCGTATCAGGTCTGCAAAGTCAACTTCAACAGGTTTGGGTTTTTTTCATGTTTGTTGTTTCCATGAGAAATAACTATGCTGTTGGGGGAAACAGTTATTGAGGATGCTTAAAAACACTTGAACAAATGTTTAACGCTACAGTTTTAATGCTAATAAAATAACAACTTTGCTAAACATTGATGACTTACTACCTAATTTTATATCGACCAAAGTTATGAAGCGTCTGGTCCACAAGCAGATAATTCAGATACTGAATTATTGAAGAGAAGAATTTAGATTGGATGCTGAGGTAGCAATTTTTTGAAATAACAACTTTTTGATACCGTAACACTTTTAAATAAAGCTATCCGTTCATGATACAGTTCATAAACAATCCAGGGTTTGAGCTAAGGATGAAGGGATCTGTACACTACCAAAATTTTTTTCTTGTTGTACAAATTAACAAACAAATTTCCTGTACTCATAGTATAATTTAGTGTATTTTTCCATTCTTTCTTGATGATGGAGTCACTCTATTCTTTTTAGTTAGCTTTATCAGCTTCCTAACTGGAGCTTATTAAATGTTACTTCAATATAATGAGACATATTTATTTCACAGGATGTTGGTGTTGGCAGCTGCCTGCGTACATTCAATTCAGTGCTCTTGTGAGCATTACACCAAGACTTCCATAAAAGCTCATGTTATTTCAACACAGGAAAAGGGATCCCTCAAATGAAACTTGATTTGATCAATCTGTGAGCTATGAAGGACCACACACGACAGTGTGGTTGTACTTCTGAGCTAGCGTTTCTTTAATTACAGGGTACCCATTCTTCTTTCAAGAAAATGCCAAAGGCTTGCTTACCCCCCTTTTTTTCCACTCGGCTGCCCTGTGTATAGTCTTTGCAACGCTAAACCCGTATTTACGTAGAAATCTGTGCGTTTAAGAGAATGTGGACACAGTTACAGCCGTGTGAAGAGACTCACACAAAGCTTTTAAAATATTTATGGATGTAATTTCTATTTCTTGCTCAGACCAGCCCTTTTCTTTTGGTACGCACCAAATGTCAGCATGCCTCATTTCTGCAATGCAAGTTTGTGATTCGGCCTTATTTTTCTAAGTTTCTGAATTCTTACCCGGGTAACTTGGTTTGATTTTAAGGTGTATTTATTTGTTTGGTCAGCTCTTCCTGCCCACATAGGATTAATGTTCTCTCTGTCCCCTGTAGCTGCTCTCTCTCTCTTCTGGGTATTGTAAAGCATACCAAATCATTACATCATTGCCAGATTTTGCTTTTCCTGCCTCAGTGAGACGGCCTGCAGGAAGAATATTTCCCAGTTTTCAGAGTTTTAAAAAATGCTACATTGAACATAGGAGATGAGCTGAATCTGTAACTGTTGGAGTTGTTACTGTTTCTTTGGATTTATGTAAACACACACAGAAAGTTTGTTAAGATCCAGGTGCATTCCCAGCAGCAGAGGTATTCTCACATGCCTTATTTCCCTGAAAAGTGAACGCTTGAGTGGTGTTATGGCTTGACTTTTGTTTGGAGAAAGGGAGGTATCGTTTGTTTTGGTTTATATCATGCATACCAAAGTCCATTTGCTGTTGACAGTCAAAACAGGCCTTCCTGCCTGCGAGCTCTGCAAAGTAAAGTTGGGATCTTCGTTTATGCATTATTAACAGCCATATTCGTACAATTGGAGATGAGGAAATGCGACAGTAATTGCAAACTGCAACCTTTTCTTACAACTGTAGTAGTTTAATGGTAGAAGTTGTGAAATAAATACAGTAACTAATTTTGGCTACAATATTGTGCTCAGTGATGAGTTTATTATGAAAAATGGCATTTATGTTTTTAGAGTGGATTTTTTTATATTTTATGTTGAAAGCAAGAGATGTAATGTATTGCATCACTGCAACGCATTACCTCGTTTGCAGCTGTGTTCTAACATACTACTTTTGAATCTTTTTGTTTACAACATTTTACTTTGTTTTCTTTTGCAGTATAAAGAAATGTAAAAATTATTATGAAGTCCTTGGGGTATCAAAGGATGCAGGTGAAGAAGACCTAAAGAAGGCTTACAGAAAACTTGCTTTGAAATTCCACCCAGACAAAAACCATGCACCTGGAGCAACAGAGGCTTTTAAAAGTAAAACACCATTTTTACTTAATTTTTTTTTTGTGATTAAACTTTGTCAGATTAAAAGAAATTTGTCTGCATTGGTCACTTGTCTTTTTACAAAATGTCAATGTGATGTTTTGTAGCTTATATTAAAGTGACGTTTTATCCAAGAAAATATTTGACCTTTATTATCTTAAGATATACCAAGAAGTATAGATAAATAATGTGGACTTCTGTGGTAGGGTTCAGTTTCACAGGATTTACTGTAATTTTCAGGTACAGGGAGCTAGTACTTGATCTGTGACAACCAATTGCACTTTTTTACTGTTGTTGACTTAATGTAGTCAATTGGATCTTACTATTTTGAATCTTTACTATACTTGAGCTTGAAAAAAACAAATACTTGATAGCAAAATGCATTTTTTACTGAATCACGTGCCACACTGTTACCTTTTCCTTAGAATCCCTTGTATGTGTGCAGTTTACTGCTTTTTCCACACAAAAACACTTGGGTACAAACACGGCCTTATTAATAGTTGCCTTTGACCATTTCTTAGGTAAAACTGACAGCCTGACTTGACCTGATCTCAGGCTGCCAAGCTTAGCCCTGCACAAGGGCAATTGTTGAGGAAAAGCTTTTTAAAGAAAACTACACCTTCATCTCAGACACAGTTGAAGAATGTGAGTCTATAAGAAACGATCAGGCATAAACAAAGAATCTGATTGTGGTACATCTTTTTTATTTTTTTCCTCTGGGGTTTATGTGGAGACACTTGAAGAAATTAGTTGGATAAAACAAATTGGGGGAGGGAAAAAAAGAAGTCCTGAGCAAGTCTTTTGATACAGACTTTAAGGGGTAATTATAAAATGTATTAACAATTCCAGGTGAATAGTAGATAGAATACAGCAGAAAAGTTGATTGCTGGTGATTATTTTAATACAGCTATGAGATGGCTTTATCTAAAAAAGATATTATTCTTGTAAAATTGTCTCCAGTCCTATGAATAAAATAATTATTCTGTGTTAATAGCATTTTAAATAATCTTTAAAATGTAAGAAATCAGTTTCTTATTATTTAATCTTTTGTTTAACATTAGCACATTGTACAAGTTTGATCTCTTCAGCTTAATTTCACTTTCTGGTTCTTAACAAGATGAGTAAACGAACAGAAAATTTTGTAGGCGAATCTTGTTGACTAAAAATTATTGAATGAAATAGTGCATTTTTCTTGCATTGAAATTACTGTAATCTTTTTGTATGGCTGATTTAGTTTTCCTTTAAATGTGTCTGATGAGTTCCTGAGAAAAGGAGTTTCATAATAATAGCTGTTATTTCATAATAACGCTTTATTTTAAGGAAAGGTCACATCAGAAGACAGAAGTGAGTTTGGTGTTACTTGGATCTTGAGATGCTTAGTACTATTTTTGTGCTGTATTGAGCCGTCTCCCTGGGGTTGTGTTTTAGATTTTAAAGTTTGTGCAAATATAATCACTTTTAATCCCTTGCAATCTCTTTTGCAATCAAAAATATTTCCTTTGAAACTTTTGAGCAGGTTTTCTTTTTATTTTTTTATGTCCTTTATTTAAAGAAAACTATATTTGAATCAAATCTGTTGTGAATTAGCATCAAACGGTCAAAAGCAAATAACAAATAGTCAAAAAAGATTGCTGACCATACTGTGACAGTGTGGTGTCTTCACTTTATGTGCAGTCACCTGATTTATGTCTCCTGAAATTCTTAATTGTTGGGAAAATCTGAATTTTTTACTACCAATTTATCCTCATGCTGAGTAACAAAGGAACCTTGTAGTGATATTTGATGTCAGTAGTATGTATCACGCTCTCAGTGCAAATTATCAGGCTTCATTTCTTTGGGTTTTCTCCTCCACTTAAAGGAATTACTAATGATTATCTCTAAGGGCATCTTAAAAGGCACACAGCTAAGACTCATTAACTTTTTTTTCAGACTGGATAATGTTGAAAACATTAATTATGCAAAGCCATAGTCTTATTTTCCTGTGTTGAGGTTATAGTGTTGCACCTTTCCTGAGCTTTTGATGACTGATGACTTTTTGACACTGTGCCTTGTGTTGGGTGACTGCAAAAGAAGCCTTTTGTTGGAGAGGCCTGGAGGAGAGAGAAAAAAGGAAAGCAGAAAGGGTTTAATGAAGATATGATTGCGTGAAGATTGTTCATCGAGTGCCAACAGAAAGTTTCCTTCAGTCTGCAGGAGCTGAATGTCTGTGCACAGCAACTAGGGTTAAAGCTTGTAAAGTCAGCAGAGCTTGTGGTTTTTCACACCGATTCTTTCCATGCTTACCTAACTCAATTTTTCCCTTTCTGCTGTCAAAATTGAGGTTGTCCTTCTGCGATAATGTAGCGTGAATGGGGACAATCGTCCAGGCCAGGCACTCTGAACATTGAGGTCGTACTGACATCCTTAGGAACACACGTGTTCATGTCATGCACGCATGTTGTGCACTTCATGTTAAGTCATGCAAAACTTTGTGTTATTAATGTAATCCATAAAATACCTTAAGAAGCATATAGAAAAATATGTTCACACTCTTACAGGCAGTAAAGTTGATCCATTTGAAGAAGTCCACTTTTATCAAATGAAACCAAAGAAAACCTACTGAGTCTGTGATGGTTTGAAGCTGATCTGCTAGAGCAAACTGAACTTTGCAGTTACCCAGCTTCAAAGCTTTCATTGTAATGCTTGATGCTTCTTTTATAATTGCAGTGAGAGAGAACATCTCCACAGGTGTAGGTGTTCCCCTAGAAAAAGAAACAAAGCTCTTCTGCCTAGTTCAGTAGGATAAAAGGCCTTTGAATAGCGTTGGTGGAAAACTTTGTGGAAGTTATGCTAAGAAAAGTAGAGATGTATCTGGATCTTGTTCTACCGTAGTTGATCTGTAACATACAATAAAGGACATCATTCGCTGCCTATTCTTGACTTTGAAATTGCAATTTTCATGCTGAAATAGCTCTTATCTTTCATTTATGGGAGCTGTCTTTTATTCCTTGCTTCAGAAATTGGAAATGCATATGCTGTGCTGAGTAATCCAGAAAAACGAAAGCAGTATGACCTTACAGGCAGTGAAGAGCAAACATGCAATCACCCTAGCAACGGTAGATTCAACTTCCATAGAGGCTGTGAAGCAGATATTACTCCAGAGGATCTATTCAACATGTTTTTTGGAGGGGCCTTTCCAACAGGTATTTATATACGTCTATATAATCATCGGGATACAGTGGTACTGCCCAGAGTGGCATTACAGTTTGTGACATTATAAAAGAGTAAAATTACTCCAACCTGACAACAACGCCAACTCTTTAATCTGCATCACAGTTTATTTTTCACTTGAGAGTTGCTAAATCCCCCAATTGCGTGTTCAGTTCTTCGGGGTTACTGTGGTGATTCTGCAATACGTGAAATAACAAATTAGTTGTCTTAGAGCTTGAAATACTTATTTTAAACAACTTTGAAATTGTAAGATATCTTAAAGATATCAATAAAGTTGATTATTTTATGTGTCATTGTGCAGTAATATTAAATGCTTTATGTTGTTGCTTCTGTATTGACCTCTAAACAGGCTGGGGTTTTTTTACGTGATTTAAATGTTGATATCTTTTTCCTTAGGTAGTGTCCATTCATTTTCTAATGGTCGTGCTGGCTACAGTCATCCTAATCAGCACCGTCAGAGTGGACATGAGAGAGAGGAAGAGAGGGGTGATGTATGTTTAAGCGCCATTGACTTTAAATTATGGATTGTGAAATTTGCTGGTAGTCGCTTTCAGTGATGTCATTGTACAGGAGCTCTGTACTGTAGAGGAGGATTTGTACTTGCCTGTTATGTATTCTAAAACTTTGGCAGGTGGTAGTCTTAGTAACTGGTAAATAGATATGCAAATTTGAGAAGATAATAGCCTGGTTTTGTAAATCTATTGTTATAGGTCACTGTCTTACTAGTGACTGGTAGTATTAGCCTAAATATGCCACTAATTCTGGTCACTAATCCTTGTCTACATTTAAAAATCTGTTTGGGCTGAGGTAAGAATTGAACTTAGGCTCAATATTCATCTATATGAATTACATATAGTCTGACATAGTTACATACCACTGTATAGCTGAGACCAGATCATGGCATATACAGTGTCACTGCTGCTCATTTGGTAATTGCTTGTGGCTACATGCTAACCCATGAACTCTTGCAGCTTGAGCACTCTATGAATATTGTGTGTGCATTGGAAAGTTAAAATAACACCACAGTGTTTGCAGGTTTGTGTTACAGTTTTCCTAGCAGTGTTTGATGCTTAAAGCAGAAAGTCACCCTCAGCATTAAATCTTGTCAGATTTACCTGTTTACTTGATGCTGTTTTATGAAATACCTCAATCTGTTTTGTTCCTTAGGGAGGTTTCTCTATGTTCATTCAGCTGATGCCTATTATTGTGTTGATCCTTGTCTCCTTGTTAAGCCAGTTGATGGTATCTAACCCTCCTTACGCCTTATACCCAAGATCGTAAGTAATGCTCAATTACATTAGCTTAGAACAGAGGGGAGGATATTGTAATCACCCTCTCCCACTTAGAAGCATTTTGGAGAGCCTTCCATTAGTTGGTCCTTGATTTCCCACAGTGAGGAAAGGGAGGGAAGGTAGAGACAAAGCAAAACTAAACTTGAAAGTTAGGTACCAAGAACATGCTGTGAGAATGTAATGAAGAAAAGAGGTCAGCAATACCTGGAGTTCAGGTGGTCTTCTAATACGAGGCAGTGGGTCCACGTGATGTAGCATGTTGCAAAGGTGTTTGCACCCCCAGCGTAGTTAATCGAATCCTGAAACCCGCTAAGACTCACTATTCTTTTAGGGATCATCTGTGTTTGTAGCAAGTGAAGTACTTGAAAGCAACTCTCAATTTAAGTTTTGAGCTAAATGAGGGCTGTCTATTCTTTGCTTCATTCTAGGCGATGGTAAAATGGTTTACCTTCGTTTTCTTGGCAAAGAATTCTCCTAGTGAAACTTACCTGTTTTGTACAGTAGGATATATAAACCTTTTTTCCTTGAGAGAAATAAGTAACTTTAATCAAGCTTACAACTAGCTGGTAGACTTAGACCACTTGCCGCAACTGTTTTCAAGGTCCTTAGTTCCTTGCAGAGCTGTCAGCCCCACAACAGAAAGGTTTCTTTTCTGCTCTCTAATTTTTCAGAGTTCTTTATCTCCAGAGCGTGATGTTTTCCCCCTCTGCAAGTAAGCTGTTGGGATGCTTATAAACACTTCTCTGCCAAAATGTTTGCACACGATCTTTGATTTTTAATCTGCAGAATGCCAGCAGGAAAATGGGTTTGTCAGGGCTGGCAGAAAACACTTTAGAATGGAGATGGCTGTGCTGGGTTGCTATAGAATAGTGACCAGTTTTTCTTTCTGTTGAGTTTGAATGTAATTTTCTATTACCAAAGTTTATATTTGCTTGCTTATAAAGAGGTATGCAACAAGTGTCTGACTAAAGTCAGGGGAGGGGGGTGTGTTGAGATCAAGGGTTTAAGCAGCAGAAGTTTAAAGTTCATGTAAATGTTGTAATTTTATTCTCTGGCAGATTATACAGCCACACATTTCGTTACTTGTCTTGAAATGGCAAACTCAGTAATGTGCTGTTCTTCTGTAATAGCAATATTTTTTTAAGCTTATTTGTGGTGTAAAAAAAGTCAAATAAATATTTAGTCCTTCTCTCACCCCTCCCTCCTTTTTTTGCAGAAGTACAGGGCAAACCATAAAAATGCAGACAGAAAACTTGCATGTCGTTTATTATGTCAACAAGGACTTTAGAAATGAATACAAAGGAGTGTCATTACAGAAAGTGGAAAAGAGCGTGGAAGAGGATTATGTGTCCAACATCCGTAATAACTGTTGGAAGGAGAGGCAACAAAGTAAGTTTGGCAATATATGTAATTTCATGAAAGTGTGAATTACTGTAAAAAAAGATTGCCTCAGGCAAGAATGAAGTGTCTGTATTATTAAAATATCTGGATGAGAAAGCAAGTGTTTCTTGCTTCTGAAAGTGTCCCCAGTGTCACTGCACTTCTGTGATTTACTCTGTGACCTAACAACCATTTGCAAATCATCAGCAATTTTAACCTGCTACTCTTACTACCTGTGACCGTTTCTCAGAAAATTAAAGACTACAGTGAATTGATCATGAGAAAGAAATTGCTCTAAGTTAAGGATGACAGCTAAGAATTCTCATTTCTTCCACATGATTTTATCATGGCCATATCTCATTTCCCGAGGTGCTTTTATATAAATAAAAAAATAAACCAAAAGCTTACATAGGTGTTTCTGGAGAAGGAAGGAAATAAATCTGCCTTGGACCACAGTACATACGAACACTGCTTTTCCACGCGACCAAGGACACGCAGCGTTTCCTGTAAAACGTCATAAGCTGTAAATCAGTGCCTAATCTTTTGCCAGTGCTGAATAATTTTTCCCCCTGGACTTGGTACCGTGGCTATATCAAACCTTACGAACCGGGGTTTTTTTAGTTTACCATTTATTTTTCAAGTCTAATTTAATATTATGCAAGGAGCTATTTTCTTTCAGAAGCCTAGAATTCAGTGTTAAAGCATAAAACTACTCAATGGCATCGGCCATCTTCAAGTCATCATCAATTTTAACCTGTTACTCTGTTGTGTGACCATTTTGTGAGCCTTTCATGCTCACAAAACCTGATGGTTTCAACTTCCCAGCTGGTAAACTTCAGTAGTAGCTTACTGGATAAGTCCTTCATTTGTGAGCTGTCAGTAAACTGACCAGAAGCGAACAGAATGCTCTTCTCTGAGGGATATTGGGTATTCCTGCACAACTTTACTCTCTGCAGTCCAGTGATGCCAAGCCTTTCGGCTGAGATGGCCCCTTAGTCTCTCCCAGTTGTAAAAGACAGCCCAGCATCGCAGCTAGTCAGAGGCCTGGGCAGGACCGCACACATTCCCTACCACTGGCCTCTACGTGTGCCCATACAAACTGCACTGCCCGTGCATAGCGGGCCCGAGGCTTCCTGGGGGCTTTGTGCTCCTTGCTCCTGAGCGCACCCTGTGTGTGTACAAGCACATCTGTACAGCGTTCCAAACTGCCTGCAGGAAAGACCTGTGGGCAGAAAACCGTGCTGATGGGTCACAGGTACACAAGAGAAACACCCCAGTGCTTTGGGGGAAAACTTTCAGATTATTGCCCAGATTACTAGATTTGATCAAAATAATTTTTCCAGGTTTTTCAAACACGGGAAATCGTCAGAGAACTTTTGGGTATAATTCATAAGCAAATATCAAAAATGCTTGTATTTTTCCAACTAGATTGTGCTTTGATCATCTTGAAATGTTTGAATATGTTCCATCTTCATGAAATGAACCATTAATTTTTCATCTACAAGTGGTTGCTAGATGCATGATTGGTAATCTTACAATAAAATAGTTTCCAAAAATGAGGGGCGGTTGTTAACAAAAAATTAAAGATGATATAATCCAGCAAAATAAAAAGAGGACATATTATTTGTACATTTTTTCGGCGGAGTTTAGATCTGGAAGGATAGTTTGCTTTTATTGACCTAGTCATGACACTTAGATTTACCAGCATGTTGTATTTGTGTCGTCTGTAATATATTTACTGTCTAAATATCTTGATATGCAATTTCCACCTGAGGAGG